AACAAATTAAAATGGATATACCGAATGAACATGAAAGAAAAAACCAGTTAACCATTAATGGACCGGGCTGAACGCATGCATACCGCTACGCGCGTGCTCTTATCATTGATATTTTCTTCTGAAAAAGCTTAATTTTGTTTACTGTGAGTGTGTGACATCCATCCAAGAAAAGACTAGAAGTTATACATACACACTTTTCCTTCTTCTCCACTTTACCTATATGTAAGTCGCCTGAAAATAGATTTTCGGTCGGTCGATTTTTTTAACCGCTGATTTTTGCTTTCAGATTCTTCTTTTCTTCCTAGTCAATTCTATCAGCAGTTTTGGGCAGTTTTTTTTATTGACCACATATTTTGGTCAGTCGATTTGCTATTGGGCTGAAGCCTATTACATGTGCCAGCCAGCCTTCCCCTCTCTCCGACTCTTTTTTAAAAATGTTTTTCTGTTTTTATGCGTTTCTGCTTGTGTTTTTAATTTTACTTTATAAGTTGTTTTAAGGTTTTTCCTTTTGTTGGTATTTTTGGGATGTTGGGCCAGTGTAAATGTATTCACATAAATACTATGCTACATGTGTGAAAATTACGCTCTTATATGATTGTTGTTTGCATACTACAAAAAGTATAATTTTAGTACAAGTTTGTTTTTAACTTTTTAAATTATGTTTCTTCTTAAAGAGTAATACCAATCCCAAAATTTCATTATTTTGATTTTCATTTAATTATTATTTATTTTTATTATTATTTGATGATAATACGATTGCCACTAATTCATTTCTTCTCAATAATTGTTTTTGCATTTTTTCACTATTACATGCTTATTCTTGAATATTTTTGTGTATATTGTGTCAAATTTTGTCATTGTTTGTTTTACATTTGTTTCATTTTCTTTCTTATTAAAGGTAAATACTAATGCCACTAAATTATTCCTTTTTTACAAATGCTCATTATTTTGATACTTTTTAAGTTTTATTTCATTTTCTTTCTTATTAAAGGGTAATACCAAAGTCACTAATTTATTGTTTCTTACAAAACTTCATTATATTAATTTTAATTTTTTTAAATCTTATTTCTTCTATAATTATAATACCAATGCCACTAATTTATATCTTTTGAGGATACCTCCATATTTAGAAACATTCCACTCTTATTCGTGCATATATAAAAAAGCACAATTTCTGTGCAAATTGTCTGCAAACTTTGTAATTCTTTATATCTTCTTTCTTAAGAATACCAATGCCGCCAATTCATTCTTTCTTAGAAAACCTTGTTATTTTGATTTGTTTTTGTTTGTATTTTATCTTCTTTCCTTTTAGTGGTGGCACTATCTATTCGCATTCATGATTTTTTTAGAAATTCTACTATTTTATTCTTATTCTTGCCTATTATAAGAACTGCAATTACTATGTTAGTTGTGTGAAAAAAATTGTTATTATTTGTTTTGCTTTTAAATTTTCTTTCTTCTTAAAGGATAATACCAATGACACTAATTCATTCCTCAATAGAAAACTTCGTTTTTTTATTTTTTGTAGTTGTATTTCATTTTATTCGTTTTAGTGGGTAATACCAATGCCACAAATTCAATTTTCCTTAGAAAACTTCACTTTTAATTTCTTCTTCTTTTTAAAGGGTAATACCAATTCCACTTATTAATTAATTCTTGGAATACTTCATTTTTGTTTTGTTATTTTTATTTTGGACTGTTATATATTCCAAACGTTCGGATTATAGGTATAGATCCGAACGATCCCACAGCAGTGTGATTGCATGCAAGCTCGCTAACAAAACAGCATGTAATATGCGTTAAATGCTTTTTCATTACGAAGGAATTCAGCCTCGTAAACAACTGCATGCACATAAAAACAAAATTGATGATGTCACAAAAGATTCCACTAAAACTCAAAATTCAAAATGTTTTGTAGTTCAAACCGTTGCTCGGATTATAAAACTGTTTTCACATAAAAAATTCGTCTCGACGAGACCTACGAAACTAGATGTCATGTTGATATGTTTCGACGACTTTTTTTTCGGGTAAAAAGTTACCACGCCTAGGGTATACAAGTTATCACGTCTGTGCTATAAAGTTACCACGATGTTTACATAGGCAAATTCCGGGCATAAAAATAATTTCTTTCTACTTTCTCCCACGTGCAAATGCACTAAGAGTGCAGAAAAACTAATGCCATCGTATATTCTCTTTATTTTGAAATTTCAAAATATTTTGTAGTTCAAACCGTCTGTTCGATCAAAAATTTGTTTTCACAAAAAAATCCACCATGGCGAGACCTTCGAAACTAGATACCATGTTGGCATATTTCGAATACTTTTTTCTGGATCAAAAGTTATCATGCCTGGGCTAAATAAGTTATCAGCTCTTTATACATATATTACCATGTTATTTACACAGATCGATCGTACCGGAGTATGTTTTAGATAAGTTTTTTTATGGGTCAAAGTTATCGTGGTATTTGTACTCAAGTTATCAGGACCGAGAGTCTATATTACCATGCTATTTACACAAAAGGTTATCAGAGTATGTTTTCAACAAATTTTTTTCACGGATCAAAGTTATCGTGGTGTTTTTACCTAAGTTATCAGGTCCGGGCAACCTATATTATCATGTTATTTACACAGATCGTACCGGAGTATGTTTTAGACAAGTTTTTTTATGGGTCAAAGTTATCGTGGTGTTTATACCCAAGTTATCAGGACCGAGAGTCTATATTACCATGCTATTTACACAAAAGATTATCACAATATGTTTTCAACAATTTTTTTTCACGGATCAAAGTTATCGTGGTGTTTTTACCTAAGTTATTAGGTCTGGGCAACCTATATTATCATGTTATTTATACAGATGTTATTGGAGTATGTTTGCAAACAATTTTTTTACATGAATAAGTTATCGTGATGTTTGTACTTAAGTTATCATGTCCGGAAGTGTATATTAACATGTTATTTACACGAGAAGTTATCAGTGATATGTTTTTTCAACAAATTTTTTACACGAGTCAAAGTATCGTGATATTTGTACTTAAGTTATCATGTCCGGAAGTGTATATTAACATGTTGCTTACACGAGAAGTTATCAGTGGTATGTTTTCAACAATTTTTTTTATGGGTCAAAGTTATCGTGGTGTCTGTACCCAAGTTATCAGGACCGGAAGCCTATATTGTTATACTATTTACACACAAAAAAATTATCAGTGTATGTTTTCAACAACTTTTTTTTCGCGGGTCAAAGTTATCGTGGTGTTTGTACCTAATTTATCAGGTTCGGGAGCCTATATTACCATGTTATTTACACAGATGTTACCGGATTATGTTTTCAACAACTTTTTTCCACGGGTCAAAATTATCGCGGTGTTGATACCTAAGTTATCAAGTTCGGAAGTGTATATTATCGTGCTATTTACAAAAAAATTATCAGTGTTATGTTTTCAATAACTTTGATCCACGGATCAAAGTTATCGTGGTCTTTGTACCTAAGTTATCAAGTCTCGAAGCCCGATGACATGCATTGGTTGCGTGCTCGTGGTCTTGAAATGAAGATAAACATGCTACCATAATGGGAGCAAGGATTGCGTGCTCCCATCTCAATCCTCTCAATTTTCCATGATAACTTAGGTACAAAATTAGAGGGTAAGACAACAAAAGTAATTTAGGTGAGCTGGTTAATGAGCCTGAGCTTAGTTACGAGAGACTCAGGTCTGAGTCCAAAGGCACCCCACACACAAACATCAAATTTATTTCTAGTTTTTTGGCTGTAATGCAAAGGAGCGGTGGTATGATAAAGGAAAACGTAACTTATCTTTAACCGACGAATAGAGTTAGCTGGGTTGGTTATCGGGTCGGCCCTGCACGCAGCAGGTGCAAGGATTGAGTGCCATAGCTCTAACTTTTTTTTTGAAAAATGAGCGAGCGACGGGAAGGTGGAGCGCTCGAGCCGATCGACTCGTTCGGATCTATTCACAAGGTGAGAACGTTCGGAAAATACAAATTCCGTTTTATTTTTCCATTTATTCTTTAAATTTATACCACTGGCTTAACGGGTTGTTGATTTTATTTTGTTTGCAAAAGGCTTGAGTGCTCTCTTTGGCTGCTCGTTGAGCTGGGGTTGCTGCTTCCATCATGCCCAGCAGCTGGGCCACCTTCTCAAGGTGGAGCCCAAACCCCCAATGGGCCTTGGAACGACTCCGTGCACGTGCTGCCTTCTTTGCTCCATCGGACATCGGTCTTGCCTTACGTGTGGTTACTATGCTGCTGTTGCATCATCGAAATTGACTGACATTGGATCAGTCTATTTGGTAATCAATGATATATTAGAAATTGACTGACCCAAATCATAAAACCAGGCAACTTCCCCGTAGTCGGTCTCTTTCTTCTCACCGCATCGCTCTACCGTGAGTGGCTTCCCCTGCCAGTGTCCACAACAATAATCCTACACCTACGTACCCATCTAGGTAATAAACCTCCTAATCTACTCCCCTCCCACCCCCAAATTTTCATGGGGTGGGGCCCGGGCTATTTTTTCAAATCATCCCAAATCAGTTTTCACGTAGCTCTACGTAGAAGCGGGTTATGCCAAATAGCTGTAGTTCTCCAAATCAGCTATAGCAGAGGTATACCCGGCTATTTGAGAACTTTTTCTGACAATTATACAAGAACCTTATAGTCTATCATTTAACGGCACCATGCTCAAACTGCTATAGCGGTGCTATAGACGGCTATTTAAAACATTGACAAATACTAGCATTTCCAAACTTTTAGTGCCCCAAAAATTCAAATTATCTATACAAAGCTACATCAATTGTTCCGAGAGCATATATTTTCACACTGAAAAATGTACGTGGCAGCTACACCTTCTTTGCTACAGGTACACATAAACAAATGCAGTACTGTGCACGAAACATACAGGACAAACATGGAACATCGAATTACCACGAAGAACAACATGCAGAGAGGTGGTCGAACTGCCATGCATGCACGGTTGCCGGCTTGAGATCACATGACAGTGCACGCACTGGGCGGGTACTCCTCGTAGATGAACCTCCCCTCCTGCACGATCCGGCAGCCCTTGCACCCTCTGCACGACGACGCCGGCCCGCCGCAGCCCATCGGCGGGGGCTGCATCATCTGCAGCGGCGTCGGCATCGGCGGCGGCCACGCCCCGTACCCGCCGCCACCGCCGCCGCCGCCGCACGAGCCGCACCCTCCTCTGCAGTACGCCGGGCCTCCGCACGTCTGCCTCTTCGGGGTCGCCGGCACCGCCCAGGGCGGGTGCTGAGGGTGGTGCGGGGCGGGGTAGGCCGGCATCTGCGGCGGCTCGCACGGCCACTGCGGCTGCTGGGGATGCGGGTACTGATGCACGCCTCCCCAGTGGCTCGGGTCGCTGCACGGCCACGGGTAGCAGAGGTTGCACATCTGCGTGAACTGCAGGTTCACCGTCGTCGACGGTGCCGCCGGCGCGGCCGGTTTGGGCTTCTCCTCGCCCTTCTTCTCATCCGTCTTCTTCTTTTCTTCCTTCTTTTCCTCCTTCTTTTCTTCCTTCTTTTCTTCCGGCTTCTTCTCGTCGGCCTTCTTCTTCTCATCCGGCTTCTTCTCATCGGGCTTCTTGCAGCAGCACTTGCAGCCATCGGCGGCCGGCTTCTTCTCCTCGGGCTTCTTCTCCTCTGGCTTCTTCTCCTCCGGCTTCTTGGCATCGGGCTTCTTTTCTTCGATGATCTTGATGTCCTTGATAGCCTTGCACGCCTTGCATCGCAGCTTCTTGGACAGCTTCACCGGGTCGAATGGGCCGGAGACGGTCACCGTGTTCTTCTTGGTGTCGAAGTTGATGGTCCTGATCTTCTCCTTCTCTGATCCATCGATGTTAATCGCATCGAAGTTAATAAGCGAAACATAAAATGGTTCCACTTCTTATCACATGGTTAATTTGACACAACTAAATTGAGTGCTTGACTATTGTACTACGTACCTTGGAGTTTACATAGCACTTTCTGAATCTTCCTGTAGCATTTCTCGCATTCGAGGTTGGCTTCAATGATCAACGTGGATACCTGGTGGATACACGCATGGCAGGAGAATCAACACAAAGAGCTCACAACACCATCACTACAACTTCCAAATTAACCATGCATACATGCATGCATGCAAAATTTAACTCAAGCATGTACGCATGAAACGGGGCACTCACCTTCTCTGCCATGGCTGGAGCTGAGGCGCGAGCTCCAACGAACGTTTAATCGCAGGGTTGCCACAAAAAGGAAGAGGGAATATATATAGGGGACTCTTACTTAATCATGGCAATTGCCTAAGAAATATGTCATTGTTGCAGTGCAGCATCACACTTGTGGTCATCTTGATGAGATGGCGTGGCAGTGGTTACGCTCCACCGTCGCCATGACTCGTCACACACCGAAATCCGTGCCATCATCTAGTGAAATAACAAATTTTTTTAGCTAGGCATAATCGAATAGGAGTAGAACGTACACCCACCCACCGTATATTGCACTCCAAGAAAGAACAAAAATATAATTGCATGCACGGCGCCGGCATAGCCGGTGAAGGGGGAATATGGCATCACATGAGCGTGATGAAGACCTAATCAGTAGTTTAAGCGTAAGATTCGGGGCAACAACCTTTCCCCGCCACGATCATCACGGAGCATGAGCTAGCCTGAACATGGGACAAATAAGTCGCCGTAGTTGGTCCGGACACTGCTGGCACTACGCCGGGGCATGTTGCCAAAACGCCACGAGGCGAACCTTCTCACGACTTGTTTCCCGTACCGGGGTGCATAGAAAACGCGCATGTCGGCCGCACCGAGCCGTCGTCACGTACGTACATGGAACTCGATGACGATTTGGGGCCGTTTTTGACGCGATCTGTGCGGGTATATCCTTCAGAGTTTCGGTGACGGGGGTGAGCTGCAACAACCCATCGATCGGCCAACCTCATGTCCAAGTGAAAATGATCCCGTAGATGGCTCGGCTGCGTACACATGGATGCCAACAATGGTCAACGACGACAGCTATGTCGAAATGATCAGCTGGCTGGCATGTACGATTGGATCGTCGCCAACCACCGATATGGACGGGTGGGCGGCAAGGTACTGCAAACCGGGGGAGAGCATGTCGTGGAGCATCTTTCTTGTGACCTGGGCTGTTTGCTATACTGATTAACGTGCATTTGCCATGAGACCAGCCCCAAGCGTTGTTGCGGGGCGGGGATGGGTTTGAGCCGGGCGGTGGTTGTCTTGTGAGACGGCGACGGCGAACGGCGGTGGACTGGCCGCGGCAGCTCGCTGGATGTGGCTACGGCGAGGTGACGGAGTGAACGGAGGCGCAGCCGAGGTGGCGGAGGGGCGGTGTCATCACAGAATAAAACGACCAGCCGGATATGTTTTGTGTTTGTAACAAAGGGCATGTTGCAATTGCAACAAGCCAATCGTTACAAAAGGGTGTTTCAGCCTCGCAAAACAAAAACTCGCAACTTTTTTCTTGCGATAAGACTTATGTTGCAGCTGTAACATGACCTCTATTAGACCTTTGTTGCAGAAAATACCGCAACACCGCTTTTGCTGCAAAGGGGGGCTGCTCACGGGGATGCATTGGATGGTCATTGTCAGGTCCATCCAATGCATGGTCAGCGAGGCGGTGAATATTCCTCGGTTATCCATCAAAAAACACGCAGAACTTGGTATCCAAACAACCCCTATGAGAGACTATAAAGGGACCGTGCCCTCAGCACATATACGATTAAGATGATTCTTAGTTCAACCATAAATTGCGACTTTTGCATCGCATGTTAGGTTATAACATTGATTATACTTGTCTTGAGTACAATGGGTGTAAATATTCAAAATTGTGCATCAACGATATTCAGATTATCTAAAGTATTTGCTTCTACAAAAACTATGTGTACCATTTATGTTTAATCCCTGCCAACATCTCCCATTCGGTTAAATCCTGTGTACCATTTAAAGCCAAGTTTAATGAACAAGGTTATCTACATGTATCAAGATTTTGTGCCAAGCACCATAGGTTATTCATGCACAAGTCAAGCACATAAGAAGTAAGACCACCAGAAAAAAGATAAAGATATATAGCAACAAACCAAGTAGAGAGCAACAATACTACGAGTGCAATAGAGTACATAACAAACCAATACAAGACAAGTTCATAATTTTGCCAATAATTATTTAAGGGCTGCACCAGCTCCAGGACCCCCAAAGCTGCACTTGGCACCTGAACAAAGCTAGAGAGATACAACTGTGTCAATATAAAGAATCACTTTGAAAAGTAAATGTATGAAAGACACTTCGTTTATATTTTTTTACGGGAAAAACTTCCGATCTATTCATCAATTGTCAAGCCAGTACAAAGAACACTAGAAGTAAAAATAACATCCGAATCCATAGACCACCTAACGACGACAAAAAGCACTAGAGCGAGCCGAAGGCACGCCACCGTCATCGCCCCTCCATCACCGAAGCCGGGCAAACCTTGTTGTAACAGACAATTGGGAAGTCGTCGTGCTAAGGCCCAATATGATCTGCGCCAGAACAACAACCATCGCCGATGAAAAAAACATAGGTCGGAAGGATCCAGCCTGAAGACACACGAACACATATGAAGGAAGACCGGATCCAACAAATACAAACACCGACCGAATCCCACGAGATCCGCCAGAAACAAATCCCCACACGCCCTCTAATGACGCTAGATGCATCGCTGGGCCTGGACGGGGAGAACCTTATTCCGACTTCAGGGAGTCATTACCGTCTCTTCTTTCTGAACTGGATACAAACCATAGACGGTCATAAAAAAACATCTAAAAATGAAGTAGGAGCCCTCCCGCCGGCAAGGGCCGAGATCCACCACGCATTCATGGCGTAAGGCCACAGAAGGCAAAGCTGATCTGCGGTGGCGCCGACGGGAGGCACGGATTCCTAATCGCCATTGCGCGAGCTCACGAGGCGAAGGGGCAGGAGACGTACGTGTTTTAGCCCCTAGCTTTCCACTATATCCGGCGGAAGACACTTCTTTCAAGTGATAGAAAAGAAAAGCAATGGACAACTACTGTTAGAACAAAGAAATAAACTCTGGTTTAGTGATCTGCCTGTTGGCAATCTTTTCACCATTATAGAATCTTGAAAACAAGATAAATGCATTTTTTGAAAATTTGATCTTGTAAGTTTCTGCGGCAGCTAGCATATTTAAAACGTGTCTGTTTGACATGGGGTCATGGGTTGCTATGGAGGGTTCAAAACAGGTCAAATGTTGAGTCTTTGTGCAGGATTTTTTTCAGGAAGTAATGAATGTAGTAGGAGCAAAGGATAAGGATTGGTGGTTTCTTCTCGCTCCCAAATCCATATCAGGGATGTATGGTTTCTACCAGAACTTATCATAGTCTAGTAGCCGATACTCACCAAATAGTAATGAGGATGTAAGCAGCTCGACCAAACAAATGACTTTTATGCCCTACCATTTTCATAACAGAATTTAGTAATGGTTGTGTGCAACAGAGTTCACCATAAACAACAATAAAATACGTTCACAAGTTCAATTAATTATTTAAGGGCTGCAGTAGCTCATGGACCCCCGAAAGCTGCACTTGGCACCTGAACATTCCATGAGAAGCACCATAGAGCAACGATACTTCCAGTACAACAGAGTTAATCATAAACCATAATACAGGACGAGTTCATAACTTTGCCAATTATTTATTTATTAAGGGCTGCACTACCTCCTGGACCCCCCGAAGCGGCACCTGGGACCTGACCAAAGGTAGATAGATACACATGTGTCAATCTAACGAATCATTTCGAAAAGTGTATGAAGGACACTTTTAGGTGATACAGTAGTAAAGAAAAGCAATGAACAACTACTGCTAGAACGGAGAAATAAACTCAGTTTAGTGGTCTGCTTGTTGCCAGTATTTTCACACGCAAAAAAAAGACAAAACCTAAAAAAACACAACTATTTAATACATTTTTTGAAAATTTGGTCTGCCAAGCTTGTGATTTAGAGCATATTTAAAATGCTTCTGTTCTACACGGGTTGCTACGGAGGGTTTAAAACAGGTCAAATTTTGAGCCTATGTGCAGGTTTCATCATGAAGTAATGAAGGAGCAAAGGATAAGGATCGGTAGCTAACTAATTGCATCTTCTATCTGCCAAAACCATATGAGCAATGTATGGTTTCTCATGATTACAGCGGAACTTGATATTTTCACCATATTCTTGTTGGCAATCCTCAGTCAAATAGTATTGGGGATCTAAGTAGCTCGACCACACAAATAACTTCTATGCCCTACACTTTTCATGAAAGAATTTAGTGATGGTTGTGTGCATAATGCAAGCTAAAGAAGACCGACTGAACATAACAGGTTGACGATGGCAAATGAACAGTCTTTTATACCCTAAAAAACCGAAATTGTCTGCCAAGTTCACTACACATAAGAGCAGAAGACATACATGCAAATATAGAAAATAATAAAAACTACTCCCTCCGTCCCATAATGTAAGACATTTTTTAACACTACAGTAATGTCAAAAGGCGCCTTACATTATGAGACGGAGGGAGTAGATGAGTTCATATAATAATGAAGTAATGCACAATAGCGCTGGAAGAGCTTGGACTATTTTTCTTACTACGTGGAGGAAACAGCCGAGCAATCTCCGCCTTAGTCATATCTGCAAATGGGCCCAGTTGAGACACTTGCGACGATCCAGAATTGTTATCTTTGTACACAGCCATTGCACAAGCCCTAAATGACCTGAACCGGTGGGTCATTTCTTCATGGTCACGGGATACCTCATGATACTTGCACCAGCATTTATACAAGGCCCACAGGGATTCCTTGGACTTAATGGAATTCTCATCAACCAGGGGAAAGGTTTCTTCTGGATTGATGTCTGCCACAAAGTCGCTGAGTGCGAGATTTTCTTCTGGATTGATGTCTGCCACAAAGTCGTTGAGTCGCGATCTACAAGGGTATGTAGATGCACTCTTCTCTCTCTCGTTGCTAGTTACTCCATAGATTGATCTTGGTGATGCGTATAATTTTTTTTTATTTCTGCAACAATCCCCAACAGTGGCATCATGAGCTAGGTCTATGCGTAGTTTCTATGCACGAGTAGAACACAAGTTGTTGTGGGCGTCGATTTTGTCAATTTACTTGCCGTTACTAGTCTTATCTTG